CTTCCCTGGTCTTGTCTGAGCCCTGGGGGACATCCTGGGGTTGGGGGGGGGGGGGGAAGATGGGCATTGGCTCCAGGCTGATGACCATCTCCTGGCTGGTGGGCATTGGGTCCAGGCTGGCCTGCTCCTCCTTTTCCTCCTCCTCCTCATTCTAATCATTCTGGTCCACAGCCCCACAGCCCCTCCTCCTGGAGGCTGACGATGGGTGTGTCCATGCTGGAGTCCACAATGGGGGTGGGGGAGGATGCCATCCAGGATGCCATCCAGCTGCTGGTAAAAACGGCAGGTCCAGGATGCCGCTCCAGAGTGGGAACTTTGTTCCCTGGAATTGGTGTAGGCCTGGCACGGTTCTTTAATTTTCCTGTGCAACTGGTCCAGCATGCACATGTGGCCCATCCTAGGCCAGGATGGCGGCCATCCGGCCGTTCCTGCACCTGCTGCAGAGAGGCTGCATTTTCCTCTCCTCGCCCTAGACTTCTATGCGATCCAGGATCTCTGCACCAGTCCAGGATGGGACCCTCTTCTGCCCTGACTAAGGGCACCTGAGCTGGCTGCCAGCACACTGGCAGCGACAGGTTGCTCGGAAGGAGCACTGGGGTCTTCCCAGCAGCAGAAAAGGCTGTGCATCCTGCACCTGCTGCAGAGAGGCTGCATTTTCCTCTCCTCGCCCTAGACTTCTATGCGATCCAGGATCTCTGCACCAGTCCAGGATGGGACCCTCTTCTGCCCTGACTAAGGGCACCTGAGCTGGCTGCCAGCACACTGGCAGCGACAGGTTGCTCGGAAGGAGCACTGGGGTCTTCCCAGCAGCAGAAAAGGCTGTGCAGGGTCCTGCTATGTAGCACGGTGTAAACAGGGCCTGTGTCATGTCATAAGCCCTTTCCCTTCTGCCTGCAGCTTTAAAGCCTGCAGGGGAAGGGAAATTATAGAAGGGGTTTGGACAGAGTAGCCACCAAGGCAGCTCTGAGAAGCCCTGGAAGCCAGTTGTTTTGCAATAAGAAGCCCGTTCTTTTTAAATAATTTTGAAATAATAGGCTTGTTGTATGGATGCTCACCTTGGTATTTCAAAATAACGTGAGTTATTTCAAAATAACTCTGTAGGTGTAGACATGCCCTTAGAGACTAACAAAAATATATTTAGTATCATGACCTTTTTGCCCATGAAAACTCATGATAATATATATATATATTGATATTTATATTGATATTGTTAGTCTGTAAGGTGCTACAGGACTACTAGTTGTATCCAAATAGTTGTATCCAAATCGATACAACCGCATCTGCTCTAATCCCACTGACAGAGACCAGAAGCTTCAGGATCTCTACCAAGCATTTATAAACCTCAACTACCCACCCAGAGAAATGAAAAAGCAAATTGAAAGAGCCAGACGAATACCTAGAAACCATCTCCTTCAAGACAGACCCAAGAAAACCAACAATAGAACACCACTTGTCATCACCTACAACCCCCAACTTAAACCTGTCCAACACATTATCAATAACCTACAGCCTATACTGGAACAGGATACCATACTCAAAGAGGCTCTGGGAGACAGACCCATAGTCTCCTATAGACAACCACCTAACCTCAAGATGATTCTTACCAACAACCACAGGACATACCACACTAATACCAACCCCGGTACCTTCCCTTGCAACAAACCCCGTTGCCAGCTTTGTCCACATATTCATTCTGCTGATACCATTATTGGACCTAACCAAGTGAGTTATAAGATCAAGAACACATATTCCTGCGCATCCAGAAATATAATCTATGCTATCATGTGCCGAAAATGTCCGTTTGCTATGTACATTGGACAAACATCTCAGACACTTCGCCAAAGGATTAATGCCCACAAAACAGATATCAGACAAGATCACAACGAAAAAACAGTTTCTTGCCATTTTAACCAGAAAGGACACTCTCTCAATGACTTAACCACCTGCATTCTGCTACAAAGACCTTTTACATCTGCACTTGAAAGGGAATCCTCTGAACTGTCATTCATGTTAAAATTCGACACTTTCCAAAAAGGACTCAACAAACACTTGAACTATCTCACCCATTACCAAGATAGTTTCCCCAATTATCACCTCTAATACCATTAACTCACAAACATCCCACTCTCCCTACCTCTAATATCATCAATTCACAGACACTTACCTACCTTCCTTCCCCCTCCCCCCCCGCATCCCCCTCCTGTTCTGCAATGTGATTTGTCCTTTTCATATTTGTTCATTTTTTTAATTGTATCCTTTGGTATATATGGTTGTGACTACTTTCTTCCACTGTTTGATCTGAGGAAGTGGGTCTGGCCCACGAAAGCTCATCATCTAATAAACCATCTTGTTAGTCTTTAAAGTGCTACATTGTCCTGCATTTTGCTTCAGCTACCCCAGACTAACACGGCTACATTTCTATCACTATCCAAATAGGTTATTTTTAGAAAAATAAAGAGAATACAGGGGAAGTTTTTTACAAAACACACTCATAAACAAAGAAAAAGCTCATTTGAGTAAGGAGCAACAACTTATCATTTATAAACAGAGTGCAGCTGCATATAGATAAGAGCCTACAGTCTAGCTTAAACAATTCCAGAAGGCAATCAATCAGAGATCTTCTCAAAGCCTTATGTGGAAGTACAGCAGAAACAGATTCTAAAGAGGCAGAACCCAGACTGCTGTGCTAAATGTTGTTACTGCAGGGCTCTCTTCTGTAATCTGGTAATTACAGTATTAGCCTAGTATTATGAACTAATCCCTACCCAGCATTCGCCAATTGAACAAAAGCCACTAAAACCAAATTCTGTCTTTTGATACACTCATGTTGTTCCCACTGGTATCAACAGGAATTACACATACAATTAAATGCAAAGTAAATGAAAGTGCAGTAACTAAAAGCACTTTGGGATCAAATTCTCTGCCCACACCTAGTCTGTTTCCCCAAAAAGCCAATAAATATAAAAAAGTCACATTCTATTATCTTAAGAAACATATCACTGAAGGCAATATAGTGCAAATAAATTACAATGATTACTCAGATGTATAACTAATGACATCTGGCTTCATGACGTTTTTTACATCTCATAGATGAATAAGCATATACCTACACTACAACACTATTTCAAAATAACTAGTACTATTCTGAAATAACTTAGTCCATGTCTACACAGCAAGCAGTTATTTTGAAATAGTGTCAAAATACTGTCAAGCTGGAGGACTTCTTACTCCCACTCTTGTAACCCTTATTGTATGAGATATAAGGGAAGTCAGAGGAAGAGTGCTCTATTTCGAAATAAGTGCTGTGTAGATGCTCCATATTTCAAAATAAGCTACGCAATTGATGTAGCTCAATTTGCGTAGCTTATTTCACGTTAAGCCCTGTAATGCAGACGATCCTAAGAGATTCACATATGAAGTCACGTAGTCTTCTGGTACTTTTTGAAGGATTAGGAGTCCATAAATCAAAGAACGATTTGATCAAAACCTAGAAATGTAATTTTTCCATATTTATCTATATAATACTGATCATCTTCATCTTATATATAAAAGAATTCCCATACATACCCACATTCAGGATCAGAGACTCTTCTAGTAGAAACATTGATGTGTCAGCCATTTCTAGACCATGATGCATTTGAAAACATATGGAAAAATGCTTTCCTGCATGACTTTCCTCTTAGTGTCAGTGGGTATTTGATACACTTTGCAGAAAATGTTTTAAAGAGTGTTTCAGCCAAATTATTTCATTTATGAAAAACATGAAGATCAGAGTTAGTAGATGGTCAGTCATGATCTCTCTCTTATTTGATAATTATTTTTATCTGAATTTTCCATCTCAACTGCAGGTAGAAGTCATAGGTAGACTCACTGATAGGATTTAGCTGAAAATTTTGCATTAACTCTTTTCTATGGAAATTTGGATTCATAGATAATAAAAAAAAAATCTTTCTGAAAACCAAAAGCAAACTAAAAACCCAGCTTTTTTATGAAAAGGTGAAATCTTCCACTGAAATTGTGTTTGAAGACTTTTAAAAAATTAAAAAGATTTCCCTGTGGGGGAGGAGGATTATGACCAATTCTATTCTCTATCATCAATGGGGCAGCAAAAGCTGTCTAAAATGAGCTGAAGGGCTCCTGCTCTACCTACTTCAAAGGCCCTCAAGCATAAAGCATTGGTGGGGGAGAAGAGAGAGAAATACCTGCATCTGTTGCAGTCAGTGCATGGGCAGAGGAGAAACCTCCACCCTCCAGAGAGCACAATGGAACACCTCTGATTTTTCTCATGCTGAGACATGGCCTGAGGGGCACAGGTACTTCTTGCCTATTCCCCTGTTGTCTCTGCAGAGGGGCTTTTTACCTGCCCTTCTTACTCTGAAAAGAAGTTCCCTCTCCAGCTCCCACCCCCATCAACTGAGACAGCCTCTTGTAGCTTCCAGGTATTCTCCTCCATAGGTTCCTTAAGGTTTAGGGGCTATGAAGTAGCTGCAACCAAACATACCTCACTTTACTTCAGGAAACTGCTGCTGCCCCAGCTAGGTCTACCCTCTGCTATGATATGCATGTAGGCCTCTGCATGTAGGCAGGGTTTCTTCTTGCAATCAGGAAAGGCAAGAAAGACCATCAGGGGCTTCAATGTTCAACACTGATACATATATAGGTGTGTATGCATGTATGATTAGCCATCTGGGGTACTCACTTTTTTTCAAAAGTGACAAGACAAAAAAATAAAAGCAGCCACACTCTGCTAATCTTTTTTCACAAAACACAACAAACTGAAAGTAAGTGGAACCAATCATTTCTTGAAAGCTTGGACAAATGTACTTTTTAGCAATGAGCAGCTGTTTCTGTTCATGCAGAAAATGAATTTACCTCTAGCTACTAATCTCTGTCTTCTCCTGCTGTTCTGTGGGGTGCAGTGGTGAAGCTTGATCTGATAATATCTTATGTTTTTCTTTGTCACAAAATACAAAAAACAAAAAGTAGAAGACATTAATTACCTCTTTGAGTGTGGTGCAGGAATTCCTGGCAATACAGTCTTTTCTCCATAGAATATTTTGGGATAAAGTTTCATAAACTTTTGATGAGCTTCTTCAGTGGTGTGTGGGTTGTTCCTAAAGAAATTTAAAAAAAGAACAAACTGTAAATCTTGGTAATAAGTACTATGTAGGTTAGCTGGATCTGCATGAAAACTCCCAAAGACTTCCATGGGAACAACCGTGGGAATTGAATCTGTTGTTCCTATAACACAAAGGGAGCACAAGGTTAAATTCTGTCCTCAAAGTGAGCCATGCAACTCACACAAAAACGGTTCTTTCTCGCGGCTTCAATGTTCCAGTTTATGTAATATCACGCTTATTTAGAACTATAAAAAGAAATAGATTATAACATGGTATCTGGGGAGACAAACTTATTTTAAAAGGTGACTTTTATAATGGCTTTTCTTGAAAGGCCAGAATAAGTCATTGAGGAAGTAAGAGCCAAAAATGCTCAGTTCCCTTTCAAGCATCAAAAATAAATAGCTAGGTTTTCCACAGAATTCAGTATCCACCAGCCTTAACTGGAAATAATGGGAGCTGATGGGTGTTGAGCGCTCTGGCAAATCTGACCCTAAGGGCACGTCTACCCTGAAATAAGCTAAAGCGCTAACGGATTAAAGCCAAAATAAGATATGCAACTTTAGTTAAAACAATTGCGAAGCTTAATTGAAATAGCTTAATTCAGCTTTTGGCACTGTCTACACAGCAGGAAGTCCGAGAAACTAAAATGAGGTTACAGGAGTCCTCCAGCTCTACATAATCTCAATATTATGTGGAAATAATTGCTTGTAGTGTAGACATGGACTATGTTATTTCAGAATAACATCAGCTATTCCCAAATAACACTGCTGTGGAGCTATACCCTAAGGGAACTTTGGACAAGGTGACTGGCAAGTCACATTACGTCAATTTTATGTGTGCTGAAGAATGTATCCACTGATACGCTTATACCAATAGCAATGCTAGCAGCTAATTCTGAAGTAAAACTAAAGATTTATTTGATAAGAAAAGGAAATGAGAAGTCAGTACAGGTAAAATAGATGTATAGGTGAATCAGTCTGAAATCCCAAATGATGGCAGTGATGTAATAAACTGCCAGTTTCCCAAAAGTCTTTTCAGGGTACCCAGATTGTCTCTGGGTATCTCCACTTTGCACCTGGTACATTTCTGTGTAAGAGTCCAAACAGCTCAGAGATGAAGAATCTTTCCTAGAATCATATTTATATGTTCTGCTAACAGAAAGCAAGCTAACAGTCTCTTTAGCCAGCAAGTGAGGAATGCACTTTAAGTCTCTGACTTCCCATCATCACATAATGACCCTTTACTTTGGAATTAACATTTTTCCGATAATGTCCTTCATTAGCATCCCACAAGGCTGTTATGAATTCTGATGAATTATTTAGTTATAGGGATATACAAAGAAAATGTTTGCTATTACATTAGGACAGAAAATAGATAAGTAAAAACAATGCGTGAGACATTCCATTTATGACGTTTAAATACCCAAAACACTTATACATATAATAATTACTTTGACCTACTACACTAATACACAAGTGAATTGGCCTGAACATTCTGATATGACCTAGTCTGTGTAAAACCCTCATTCTCCAGCTCAAATTTCACTCTGCCTTCTTGTTTTTTCTAAAATACTGTGCTTTGAGATACCAATTTATTTTTCTACATTCCCTTAGTTTTTGTAAGCCAAAGTTGCCTTCTGCATTGCTAGTTATCATCTTCCCCATTAGAGACATTAGACCAAATTCATCTTTAAGAGGACACATTAAAATCAATGTAGTTGCACCTATTTAAAACCAAATGTGAATTTGGTGCACAATCCTATGGGATTGTTACAAGTGTATGGTGATATTAAGATCTGAGGCATGGTTTATGGATATAAGGGGTTTCTTTTTGCTCTCTAGACAACTGAAGTTCAAAATTATATTATGCTATCAATTTCATAATAAATTCAAGGTTATTTATACACTAATTTTATATTCTGAGGCGATTACAAAATAAAATGTAAGATTCCCTAGTCAAAACCATCAAGCAATAATTTCCCTAAACAGCACAATTTTAAAGTTTCCCTGGAAAACCATCAAAGTACTTCATAACTAGAAGTCAATAGGCAAGCTCTGCATGAATTAAGTACTGCATATGAACTGAATTGCATTAGGAATGAAATCATCCCATTATATCCAGACTGCAGATCCCATAAGAAGGAGTACATCATAATTGTGTCTCATTCAACCATCTGGTTTTGCACAAAAAAATATAGCAATGGTAAATGGTAAAAACGGTAAATCTCTCCAAAGTTGCTGGACATGAAAGTGTGCAGAAGTTTTATATATGGGAGGAACGCCCCACACAATGAGTGTAGGAAAAGGGCACACGAAAGCCGAAATAGAAATATGACACTATTGTGAGAATGCAGATTATAATGAGTATGAAGTGTGTCATTTACTGCTACAATAACAAGATTTCATTTTCTCCTAACACCATGCAAATATTGATTAACAGAACTGAAATTGATGCAACCATGTATGTATTGAGAATCATTCACAAGAAGAATGCACAATGAGTTATTAATCATGTGAAGGGCCACTGGAGTGGTTTGGCATATGTAAAATGTCTGTGTAAGAACATCTGCTCTACCTGGACAGGGACATGCAAACTGGTTGACAGGTCTCCAAAGGGGGGTAGTAGAATATACTCGGGTAAGGTGGGAGCATGAGATGCTTTAGTAGAAAAAAAATGTTACACACATAGTCAATCATAGAATACTAGGACTGGAAGGGACCTCGAGAGGTCATCGAGTCCAGTCGCCTGCCCCCATGGCAGGACCAAATACTGTCTAGACCATCCCTGATAGACATTTATCTAATCTACTCTTAAATATCTCCAGAGATGGAGATTCCACAACCTCCTTGGGCAATTTATTCCAGGGTTTGACTACCCTGACAGTTAGGAAGTTTTTCCTAATGTCCAACCAAAACCTCCCTTGCTGCAGTTTAAGCCCATTGCTTCTTGTTCTATCCTCAGAGGCCAAGATGAACAAGTTTTCTCCCTCCTCCTTATGACTCCCTTTTAGATACTTGAAAACAGCTATCATGTCCCCCCTCAATCTTCTCTTTTCTAAACTAAACAAACCCAATTCTTTCAGCCTTCCTTCATAGGTCATGTTCTCTAGACCTTTAATCATTCTTGTTGCTCTTCTCTGGACCCTCTCCAATTTCTCCACATCCTTCTTGAAATGTGGTGCCCAGAACTGGACACAATACTCCAACTGAGGCCTAACCAGTGGAGAGTAGAGCGGAAGAATGACTTCACAACACACCTCTTAATGCATCCCAGAATCATGTTTGCTTTTTTTACAACAGCATCACACTGCTGACTCATATTGAGCTTGTGGTCCACTATAACCCCTAGATCTCTTTCTGCCGTACTCCTTCCTAGATAGTCGCTTCCCATTCTGTACGTGTGAAACTGATTGCTCCTTCCTAAGTGGAGCACTTTGCATTTGCCTTTATTAAACTTCATCCTATTTACCTCATTTTACCCACAACAATGAATAACTAGCAAAGCTGACTCCTCCAGGCATATCAGGTCCTCAGATGACCATGTTCCCTCTAAGGAGTGCCCTCGCATAGGCGCGCACCAAAAGTTTGCCTCCTGCCGACCTCCTCAGCAGAGCCACGCAGTGGCTGCTCAGCTACTCCATGGCCAGAGTCAATGGAGGGCGGCTTCTCAGTCCCAGGAGAAGCAGGGCAGCCACCACCTAGCCCTGGCTCTAGCTTCAGCCCTTCCCCAGGGCTGCTCCGGTAGCCGCAACTGGGGCCAGAGCCAGAACCACATCTCAGGTGGCAGCGGCGGCCACGGCTAGGTCCAGAGCTGCATATTGGATGGTGGCAGCAGCATGGGCCAGGGCCAGAGCTGGAGCCACATGGCAGGCAGTGGCGGTAGCTCCGTGTTAGCTGCTCTGGCAACCCCAGCCAGGGCCGGGACTGGAACTACGTGTTGGGCATGCAGCCACTGGCAAGCTCAAAGTATAATCAAGGCACTTCACCAACTGTAGTGGGGCAGGCAGTGCTCCTGGGGCTGGGAAGGCACCAGCCATCCAGCAGCGCCCGGCTCAGGAGTGGGGTGGGGTGCGGGGCAGCTCCTGGGCTGGGAGAGATGGGCACTGACCCTCTGTGCCAGGGGCGCGTTGAGAATTTCCCTCGCTGCTCCCTAGGGAGGAGCTCAGTGGTACCACGAGGTGAGTGGGATTGGCAGGCCCACATGGACCCTGCCTGTGAGCACAGGGAGTCAGCTACGTAATGGGCTTCCAAGCAAGCAGGGTGAGCAGCCAGGTAGACAGAGAGAGATGGAGGAGTTCGAACCAGCCGCAGGGAGCAGGAAAAGATCAGAGAGGGGTGCAGGCTGCCGACATTAAATGGAAGAAGATGGGCTGATCCCCTAAAGACACAACTGCATATAGAAAGTGTGGGGGCAGGGAGGAGGGAGAGACGGCAGTGGCTGCAGCTGATACTCCAGCATTTTGATCAGGACGGTTTGGGAGCTGCTTTGCAAGGAGGAGAAATGTGGTCAAGGCCTATCCTAAGAGAAGAAGGTGGGAGTTTAGCTAATGTTGCTGCAGCAGCCCCACAGGGCTAATAGGTTATCATGCCAAGGGCTGTGAGCTGCAGCTTTTTCCCAGAGTGTCTCTAGTGGGATGAGGGGGGATTTGGCAAACTTTTTTGAAACTCAGTCAGAATGAAAAATGTCCTACTTTGTTTTGTTTTCTTTCTATTTTGAATAAGATTGTTTTTTTCATACTAAAGAAACATTGTTGCCAGGATTAAATCACATCTTCAGCAGATATGCAAAATTGCAAGAGTGGTCAATAAGCAGACTGTGGAACAAATACAGTACATTGGCACTTAGGGTCAGCCATAATAATAAGGATGAGTGGGTAAAAGTTCTGATTTCATAGTTCTTTTTATTCTTTGCAACTGGGAAAGGGCTTTAGTGTTCTATCTTCCATATATATAATGTTAGTAACTGGTGCGTGCAACGGTGGCACACATCTGAAC